CTAGAACGACCCCCAGCCACCTGTGTTCGGTAGCGATCGGGAGACGACAGCCCCTGACGGTCACCACTGGCTGGTCTGGTAAGCGGGTCCAGGTGAAACTCATGACGCAACTTTTCACAGAGTTAATGGAGAGCCCCTTCCCCAGCACAGTTGCTGAGAACACAGTCACGGCATTTTGCAGGAAGCGTTGTGCCTCTAGGAGAGTGGCACCATCCGCCACGAGGGTTACATCATTGGCATAGGCTAAAACCTGGACCCCCGGAATACCGGGAGATCAGACAGAAGAATAGAGAATAATAGTGGGCTCAGAATCGCTCCCTGAGGGACACCACGCGAGACAGGGCGGGACGTAGAGACGACTCCACCAACCGCCACTTTGAATGAGCGGCCATGTAGATAGTTTTGGAACCACCTCAACGCCGGACCCGAGAGACCTAGTTAAGCCAGACTCCGAAGAACAGCAGAATGAGACGCAGAGTCAAATGCACTCTTGATGTCGAAGAATGCTGCAAGGAGCACTCTTCTCCGGCGATAAGTGTTCATTATTCGATGTTCCAAGGAGAGGAGGCAGTCCATCGTGCTTCTTCCCGGCCGAAATCCACTGATACCCTCAGGTAGGAGACTGAGGTTTCCACCACCCATTGTAGCCGGGTGTGAACAAGACGTTCCATCAGTTTCTCGAGACATAGAAGCAGACTTATGGGCCGATATGAATTCGGGACAGACGGATCCTTCCTTGACTTGGCCAATGGTAGAAGAATGGCGTGTTTCCACGGAGCAGGGAAGACACCAGAGGACCAGCAGGCATTGTAGAAGTGAAGGAGGTGGGACTGAAGGATCTTGGGTGCCCTCCGAACAAATTCATATGGGACGTTGTCTATCCCTGGCATAGTGCCCGACCTATAGCGTGACAGAGCGTCCTTCAGCTCAACAGATGTAAATGGACGATCCAGGTCCTGAGCTAGTCCTATACCCTGTCGGGAGCCCCATCCTATAGAACTCACAGAGAAGAGCGGGGAACGGTAAACATCCTCAAAGTGGTCAGCCAAGAGTTCGGCTATTTGTACTTCCCCCAGGCCCCCATTACCACTGGGGTCTCTGAGTGGGATGGAAGGCCGGGAGTACCTACCTGTCATCTTGCGAACAAAGGCCCAGGCTCCCGCAGAGGAGGAGTCGAATCGGAGAGAGGCACAGTAATCAGCCCGGGCCTTGCGTTTGGCAAGGAGGACTGTTCGTCTACACCTGGCGTCCGCCCTGCGGAAGATCTGCCGCTGCAGTGGAGTAGGGTGGCGCCGCCACGAATTCCACGCACGTCGCCAGTCCAGTACTGCCTGCCGACATTCAGGAGTCCACCACGGTGCCCCACGGCGGGAAGGATTGGTTGTCTGGCCACTAGTCCTCCTGAAATGCCGAGAGCCTACACTGAAGAGGGACTCGGAGAGATCATCTGCTGACCCATGCAGATCTGCCGTAATGGGGGGAAGGGTCGACCAGTCATCCGCCTCATAGCCAATTAAGCCACCCCTCTTCCGAGAAGATCTATTTGGATCTTTGGGAGGTCAGAGCAGGACGAACAGTGCCCCCGAAGATGACGATGGGCAGATGATCACTACCCAGGTACAGCCCGGTCCATATCTGCACCATCGTGAAGGGGCCTCTTCCAATGCAAAGATCGAGCGTTGAAGTATGCCCATTTAGCGGGTCTATCCGAGTTCCCAAACCTGGCGACGTCAGTAAGGAGAGGTCTGGGGAGTCAAGGAGAAACTGAAATAGGGCTCGGCCAGCCATGTTGTGGTGGCGACCCAATAACATAGGTTGCCATGATGAGTGCCGAGCGTTAAAGTCACCCATGAAGAGGCAGGTGTCTGTGATCTGACCAAAATAGTGTTCTAGTTCCTTCTTTGTTACCGGTAGACAGGGGTTATATAGAACTCCAAAGGTTCCCCACTCATGGAAGAGGGCCACCTTTACTGCCATGAACTCCAAGAGTTCGGCTATTTGTACTTCCCCCAGGCCCCCATTACCACTGGGGTCTCTGAGTGGGATGGAAGGCCGGGAGTACCTACCTGTCATCTTGCGAACAAAGGCCCAGGCTCCCGCAGAGGAGGAGTCGAATCGGAGAGAGGCACAGTAATCAGCCCGGGCTGATTACTGTGCCATTACTTAAAAATGCCCACCCGGAAAGGAGTGAATCCGGAGCAAGGAGTCGGAACTGAGTCCCTGACCAAGAGGGCAAGTCCCCCTCCTGGCCGATCTTGTCTATAGACTGAATACCCCGGCACAGTGAAGGAAAGATCGTCAGTAAGCCAAGTCTCACAGAGTCCCACGATCAACGGTGGTGCCTGGCGATAAAATTGCGTAGAAGTTGCGTCTTCTTAAAAAGAGAGCGGGCATTCCAAAACACCACAATATTCTCAGGATGGGGCGTCATTATCCCTGAAATACTACAGCTAACTTTTTGACCACCTGTGCACAGACGTCTCCAAAGGGGAAACCACTAAAAAAAACATAAAACTCTTATATAAAGTAAGTAAAATGTGTGGTATCAATGACAGCCAGTCCAGAGGATGTTGATCAATGCTTCTCTCTGCCTGACGGAAGTGATGATCGGCTCGGGAACTCTCTTGACAACGCCTGGGACTGGTGGGTGCTTCACTCTGGGCCTCATGTTCTACCGGTGTCACAATCCCCTGGGAAAGTGCCTGGGGGACCAGAAGATCATCAGGGCTATCTGTTGGAGCGGTACCTCCTGATCGATGGGAGTGTCGACGACGCCGGTGTTGGCTTCTTTGGAGAGAGGCAGGAGGGTGACGAGTGCCAGGCTCCGGCCGAGACTGAGCGTCCATGTCTGTATCCGTGGATGAGTTTCCGTCCATGTCAAGGCTATCCAGGAGGAAAAATCGATTAGCAACCTGGGCGTATGAGGCATGTGTCTGGGACAGGCAAGAGCGTCTGCTAGTTCCTATAGGAACTAGCAGACGCCACCCGATCAGGGATGCATCCCTGATCGGGTGGCACTATACAGGACCTCGTATCAAGTCCAGCCCTACAACTTCCCTGTTGTAGGGCTGATGTTATGCCTGTCATCTATTGGGCCACAGTCGCCTCACCTGCCGTAATGCAGCACGTTGTGCAAACTGTGCCAAAACAGGCCATACAGACAGAGATAACAGTGGGTGCTCTGCGCGTGCTGCTGCACCTCGCTGCTTTTTATGCCAAGGCCATCACAAAGTTACGTCCAAGATTTGCCCTGTATATCTTGAGGCCCTCCAGTTGGACATCGATCATAAAACAGCGGGGACACCTCGACAGGAGCTGTTCCAGAGGTTGCGTGCCCTAAATCAGCCTATCGCTTCTTCTGACCTCCAGGTTCCCCCTGGTTAGGCCTCGTAACAAGTATGGGCCCATCGAACTTTACACGGACCATGGATGTCAGCCCTGCTGCTCTGCAAATCCTGGTAACTTCCAATAATCCTGCTGATGCACCCCTAACACCTACAGCCTGGATGTCATCCACATCAACACTCTGGTCAATTGGGCCAATCTTCCCAATACCGCGGACCCGAGACTCCTCCTGCGACAATACCTGTCAGCTCCTGACAGGCCAGTCCCCCAACTTAATAATGTCGGATACACAGATGTGTGTGTGATAGAGCCTCCTCTCTGATATGTAGCTTCATTGCTGCACCCCTACCCAGGGTACGTGTGGTCTCAGGCAGGCAATGTGGCCACAATACCGAAGCCTCAATTGCTGCACCTAAGGTACAAGGATTTGCAAACACGCACTGACCTGATTCTGACTCGATTAGGACAATCACAAACGAGGAATGAGTTACCACAAGAGTAAGGTCTCCTGATGGCCAAGACATCCTCTTAGCATCTCGCTCTGGGGCAGCATCAGCCGACTCATTTTCCAGCAGACGTTTTCCTCTCTGGGACTTGCTGTCAACATTCATGGCGCCCCCGCTCGGGGAGGCGTCCATTAGGGAGGCTCCGGCCTCCCCCGGTGCTGTGAGCCCCTGGGTAGCTGCAGTGAGCACACACTGGCCCAAAGAAGCCAGCTGAATTCAAAGATGAGTTCCAGGTAAGGTGTGGAAAGAAAGTCCAGCCAGGAGCGGAGCGTTCAATCCGCGCATCGAGATGGCCGAACTTCGGACGGGAAATCCATGAACAAGGATTACTAGGTACATGAGGATAATATCTCAGGGTTATACATTGGTTCACTGAAGCACAATTTGAGGATCATTTCAAGGAATAATGCAGTAGAATATGCACTCAATACAACAACCATGATAGCAGATGATTTCTAAGATTACAATGGTAAAGTAATATATGGCTTAGGTACAAATATTAGGGGGATTGGGTAGCACTAGAAACAGTGCGAAGATTAAGCACTAGGTAGAAAACTATGAAGATGAATTTAGGTACTTTTTGGTTTTATTTTTGAATAAGCCAAAAGTAGGACAGCTTTTCAGTTCATTAGGGAGTGAGTTCCATAGACCAGGTCCCTTTATTTGCATAGAGTGTTTACACAGATTAAGTTTGACTCTGGGGATGTCAAAGAGATATTTATGTCTGATGTGGTGATTATTTGTTCTATTACAACTGTCCAGGAAGAGTTTCAGAACATGGTTTGCACTTAAAAACAGGGTTTTGTAAATGTAATTGACACAAGAGAGTGTATGGAGTGAATTCATGTTTAGCATGTTTAGGGATTTAAACAGGGAAGCTGTGTGTTATCTGAAAACAGAGTTTGTTATTGTATTACGTATTAGTAAATAGTAAAGTAAGTAGATTAGTAAATATTAGTTTAAGTTATCCAGTTAACACATTTTTTCTTTATATATATGCAGTGATAATATTATAACAATCCTTAAATCATATAGTATTACTCTATGTATTAAAATATATTGCTGTAAAAACCGTATATCAGACGTTAAACAAAATATTGGACTATTTTAATTTCAATTGCGCTACTTATAGCACATGAGCGCCCCCGCTACTTCCAGCACCTGGGACGTGGCAACGCTGCGTCAGAGCCAGAGACGCGGCGGTGCCTCAGGCTGTGACCCGGTAGGTAAACACTGTGGTTGTATTCCTGGGACCCGGTAGGTAAACACTGTGGTTGTATTCCTGGGACCCGGTAGGTAAACACTGTGGTTGTATTCCTGGGACCCGGTAGGTAAACACTGTGGTTGTATTCCTGGGTCCCGGTAGGTAAACACTGTGGTTGTATTCCTGGGACCCGGTAGGTAAACACTGTGGTTGTATTCCTGGGTCCCGGTAGGTAAACACTGTGGTTGTATTCCTGGGCCCCGGTAGGTAAACACTGTGGTTGTATTCCTGGGACCCGGTAGGTAAACACTGTGGTTGTATTCCTGGGTCCCGGTAGGTAAACACTGTGGTTGTATTCCTGGGACCCGGTAGGTAAACACTGTGGTTGTATTCCTGGGTCCCGGTAGGTAAACACTGTGGTTGTATTCCTGGGTCCCGGTAGGTAAACACTGTGGTTGTATTCCTGGGCCCCGGTAGGTAAACACTGTGGTTGTATTCCTGGGTCCCGGTAGGTAAACACTGTGGTTGTATTCCTGGGTCCCGGTAGGTAAACACTGTGGTTGTATTCCTGGGTCCCGGTAGGTAAACACTGTGGTTGTATTCCTGGGTCCCGGTAGGTAAACACTGTGGTTGTATTCCTGGGTCCCGGTAGGTAAACACTGTGGTTGTATTCCTGGGTCCCGGTAGGTAAACACTGTGGTTGTATTCCTGGGTCCCGGTAGGTAAACACTGTGGTTGTATTCCTGGGTCCCGGTAGGTAAACACTGTGGTTGTATTCCTGGGTCCCGGTAGGTAAACACTGTGGTTGTATTCCTGGGTCCCGGTAGGTAAACACTGTGGTTGTATTCCTGGGTCCCGGTAGGTAAACACTGTGGTTGTATTCCTGGGTCCCGGTAGGTAAACACTGTGGTTGTATTCCTGGGTCCCGGTAGGTAAACACTGTGGTTGTATTCCTGGGTCCCGGTAGGTAAACACTGTGGTTGTATTCCTGGGTCCCGGTAGGTAAACACTGTGGTTGTATTCCTGGGTCCCGGTAGGTAAACACTGTGGTTGTATTCCTGGGCCCCGGTAGGTAAACACTGTGGTTGTATTCCTGGGACCCGGTAGGTAAACACTGTGGTTGTATTCCTGGGTCCCGGTAGGTAAACACTGTGGTTGTATTCCTGGGTCCCGGTAGGTAAACACTGTGGTTGTATTCCTGGGTCCCGGTAGGTAAACACTGTGGTTGTATTCCTGGGTCCCGGTAGGTAAACACTGTGGTTGTATTCCTGGGTCCCGGTAGGTAAACACTGTGGTTGTATTCCTGGGCCCCGGTAGGTAAACACTGTGGTTGTATTCCTGGGTCCCGGTAGGTAAACACTGTGGTTGTATTCCTGGGACCCGGTAGGTAAACACTGTGGTTGTATTCCTGGGTCCCGGTAGGTAAACACTGTGGTTGTATTCCTGGGTCCCGGTAGGTAAACACTGTGGTTGTATTCCTGGGTCCCGGTAGGTAAACACTGTGGTTGTATTCCTGGGTCCCGGTAGGTAAACACTGTGGTTGTATTCCTGGGTCCCGGTAGGTAAACACTGTGGTTGTATTCCTGGGTCCCGGTAGGTAAACACTGTGGTTGTATTCCTGGGCCCCGGTAGGTAAACACTGTGGTTGTATTCCTGGGTCCCGGTAGGTAAACACTGTGGTTGTATTCCTGGGTCCCGGTAGGTAAACACTGTGGTTGTATTCCTGGGTCCCGGTAGGTAAACACTGTGGTTGTATTCCTGGGTCCCGGTAGGTAAACACTGTGGTTGTATTCCTGGGTCCCGGTAGGTAAACACTGTGGTTGTATTCCTGGGCCCCGGTAGGTAAACACTGTGGTTGTATTCCTGGGCCCCGGTAGGTAAACACTGTGGTTGTATTCCTGGGCCCCGGTAGGTAAACACTGTGGTTGTATTCCTGGGCCCCGGTAGGTAAACACTGTGGTTGTATTCCTGGGTCCCGGTAGGTAAACACTGTGGTTGTATTCCTGGGCCCCGGTAGGTAAACACTGTGGTTGTATTCCTGGGCCCCGGTAGGTAAACACTGTGGTTGTATTCCTGGGTCCCGGTAGGTAAACATTGAGGTTGTATTTCTGGGTCCCGGTAGGTAAACATTGTGGTCGTGCTTCACTGTGGTCCAGGTAGGTAAAACACTGTGGTTAGGGAGCCGGTCGGCTGAGCGGACAGCACGCTGGACTTGTGATACTGTGGTCCCGGGTTCGATCCCAGGCGCCGGCGAGAAACAATGGGCAGAGTTTCTTTCACCCTATGCACCTGTTACCTAGCAGTAAAATAGGTACCTGGGTGTTAGTCAGCTGTCATGGGCTGCTTCCTGGGGGTGGAGGGCTGGTCGAGGACCGGGCCGCGGGGACACTAAGAAGCCCCGAAATCATCTCAAGATAACCTCGTATTCCTGAGGCTGGGTCCGAGCAGGTAAATGCTGATCATATTCCTGAGGCGGGTCCAGATAGGTAAACACGGAGGTCATATTCCTGAGGTTCGGTCCAAGTAGATAAACACGGGGGTCATATTCTTGAGGCTGGGTACGGGCAGGTACACACTGCGGTCATATTCCTGAGGCTGGGTCCGGGTATGTAAACACGGGGGTTGTATTCTCCTGAGGCTAGATCCAGGTAGGTACACACTGTGATCGTATTCTCCTTGGTCTGGATCTGGGTAGTAAACACTGGTCGTAGTATCCTGAGTCTGGGTGGCGTGATAGCTGAGTGGACAGCGCTCGGGTTTTGTAGTCCTGATGTTCTGGGTCAGGGTTGCCAGATCCAAATTGCTGCAAGTAGTGAGCTGACGGTCTAAAAGTAACAAATTTGCAATAAGAGTAGCCCAATTTTTTGTTTAGTGACTGATAAGGGTTTTAAAGTAATATATTTTGATATATAGAGTACACTACACAATTTTAATTGTTTTATTAATATTATTTCTGCGTATATATATATATATGTATTAAAAAATATGATAATTGGATAACTTACCAATATTTACTGTATGAAGCATAATGGGTGTTGAATTTTCAACTGTGAAGGTTTTCACAGTTGAAGATTATCATAAAGATCTTCTTTGCATCCACAACCTCGTTCTTTTATATTGCAGACTCGTATATAAGCATTGACATGGGTGGTTCAAATGATGAGCAACAAGTTCTGTTTTCTTCAAGATATGTTTTGATAATCAAGATTGGTGTCAAAAGCTCAAGTCCCATAAGATTTCTCAGTTTAGTCTTCATAGACCTGTATCATTGACAAGTGTAATAGTCAAAATACAGTATTGGAAAAGATAATTAAAACTAAATGGGTAGAACACCTGGAGAAAAACGATATAATATCAGACAGACAGTATGGTTTTTGATCTAGAAGATCCTGTGTAATGAATTTACTCAGTTTCTATGATCGAGCCACAGAGATTTTTACAGGAAAGAGATGGTTGGGTTGACTACATCTATCTGGACCTAAAAAAGGCTTTCGAGAGAGTTCCACACAAGAGGTTGTTCTGGAAACTGGGACATATTGGAGGGATGAGAGGTAAGCTTCTAACATGGATGAAAAATTTCCTGACTGACAGAAAAATGAGGGCCATAATTAGAGGTAATGTATCGGATTGTAGGAATGTCAGAAGTGGAATACCACAGGGCTCAGTTCTTGCACCAGTAATGTTCATTGTCTTCATAAATGATCTACCAGTTGGAATACAGAATTATATGAACATGTTTCCTGATGATGCTAAGATAATAGGGAAGATAAGAAACCTAGATGATTGAAACCCTTCAAGGAGATCTGGACAAACATGGAGCACAACTTGGCAAATGGAATTTAATGTGAATAAATGCCATGTTATGGAATGTGGAATTGGAGAATATAGACCCCACACAACCTATAAATTATGTGAGAAATCTTAAAAGAATTCTGACAAAGAAAGGGATCTAGGGGTGGTTCTAGATAGAAAACTGTCACCTGAGAACCACATTAAGAACATTGTGCGAGGAGCCTATGCTACACTTTCTAACCTCAGGATTGGTTTTAAATACATGGATGGCGAAATACTAAAGAAATTATTCACGACTTTTGTTAGACCAAAGCTGGAATATGCAGTGGTTGTATGGTGCTCATATCTTAAGAAGCACATCAACAAACTGGAAAAGGTGCAAAGACATGCCACTAAGTGGCTCCCAGAACTGAAGGACAAGAGCTACGAGAAGAGGTTAGAGGCATTAAATATGCCAAAACTAGAAGATAGAAAAAAAGAGGCGATATGATCACTACGTACAAAATATTAACAGGAATCGATAAAATTGATAGGGAAAAATTCCTGAGACCAAGAACTTCAAGAACTTCAAGAACAAGAGGTCATAGATTTAAACTAACGAAACAAAGCTGCCGGGAAAAAATATGAAAATTCACTTTCGTAAACAGAGTGGTAGACGGTTAGAACAAGTTAAATGAGAAGGTGGTGGTGGCCAAAACCTTTTGTAATTTCAAAGCCTTATATGACAAAGAGTGCTGGGAAGACTGGACAAACGAGCGTAGCTCTCGTCCTGTAACTACACTTAGGTAATTACAGATGTTACTCTTGAAAATACCCGTTCAACCTGGGTATTACTGATTGGTAAGCTGTATAGTTTCAATGCAAACTCACTCGGCAAAGTCAATCAGTATGGGATCTTCAGCAGCATTCTTGACAGTTATTGCCTTGGTTCAAAATGACGATTCAGATGTTGGAATTTGGCAGTCACATACAGTATATTAAACCAGTCAATGGTTAACAGTAGGCGCCACTAACTTTCAATTTCACTAAGCTTAGATTGGTCATCTAGTACTAATGGAAGTTTGAAAATGGTTCGATCCCCAGTGGAGGCTGAAACAAATGGGTAGAGTTTTTCACCCTGATGCATCTGTTCACCTAGCAGTAAATAGGTACTTGGTAGTTAGACAGCTACTACAGGCTACTTCCTGGGGATGTGTAACAAAAAGGAAACCTGGTCGAGGACCGGG